TAGTATATCGAGAAAAGGAATTTGGTGATTTTGTTCTTTTTCAATAGTGAATTTAATTGTTGGTTCTCTATTATTCAGATAAGATAAAAATTCATGAAGTTTTTGTTCGCCATGACTGTAAATGGAGTAAAAATGTTAAATTTGTAATTATTAATGAAAGTTGATTCAAAATTTTTCAAAAAGATTTAAAATATTTAAAATATATTTGAAAATTTTAATATTGACTCGGACCATTGCAAGGAACGTACGAAACCTTGCGTACATGTGAACAATTTGTCCTTATTAGCGAGGGAGAATCCACTTTTAATTGACAAAATGAAGCAGCAAATGAGGACATTGCGCAAGAAGATCAAAGAGAATTAACGAAAGGCAGAGCTTTAAATCCCACTGGCCCCACTGGCAAACCTTCTTAATACGGAAGAATATTTTCCATATTGGTGAATTCGTCCATCAACTATTGTCTGCGCAAATGATCAGGGCATCAGCAAAATAAATGGCACCGCAAGAAACCTAATTTGTAAAAGTCCGACACGGAAGGGCGTTGCGTTTTGTTTCGGGCGAAAGGGCCTACGATCTTAGCTTATGCTGCGAGATATAATCTGCAGGTAAACGATGGGGGCAATAAAAATGCCCGAAGGCCTTTATCTATCTTTAATAAGAGCACATGATGAATGGGAGGGAAATTCGGAAAACGCAAACACTCCTTTACACCAGTTCAATCGCCTGTGTGGAAGCTACGTAGCTAAGGGGTTTTCTTTCTTCTTTAACTTCTACTATTTTGAGAGAAGAACTTGAAAAACCTTCAGACCAAGCAAGCTTTCATGCAAATCCCTCAATAGAAAGACTTCATAGGTATTCACGAAGGGTTAAAAAAAAGGTACAACGGGTCGATGTCAATGCAAATTGTCAGAGAAAAATCGCGCTCATTCATTTCGTAGTCAAACCAAATTTGCATAAAATTTCCAGTTCCAAGTCGCCAGCATGTCCGATTGCGGAAAACCGGAGGAGAAATGCTTGAAGAAATCGAACATCCTGGTGTATCAGCAACCGTCCGGACAACGGACAGAACGCAAACGGGACGATTGCAAGGGACGAGTAAAAATCCGTAAGTGTCGGCTGGAAAAGTTGGAAACTGAAATAAATCCCGAGTTTTTTGTTCAAAATTTTCAGCGCTTTGCAAGCCCCAGCCTAAACCCATCCGAGTATGCACCGGGGCCGATCTAAGAAAAATGTGCTCACCCAAAGTGTGCCCATGTGAACCATCGAAGAAAAAACCCTTCGGAATTCTCCGAGTGCTGGGTAGCAATTCATCAATCATTTTCCATCAGTTTGCAATGAGCTTCCAGCTAAAAATTCCTACTGTTGCAGGCTTTGGGTTTAAATCCGCGCTAGCTGCAGCTGCAGTGTACATCACATACGATATGGGCATATGGGGATCAACGGAAGAAACGCAAAATTTGTACGGGAACGCCTGCACTTTGTTTGGACAACCGCAGCCCAAAAAGAACAGCAAATGGGACCCGCCGTCCTGTGAGGCTGAAAGCGGGTTTTTTTCGGTAAGTTACCTCTCCAACAGTTGGAACAGTTGGAACCCAAGCATGTTGGGCGCGTTTAGAAGCCCAACTACAAGCCATACGACTACTGCCAGGATCCTCCGATTAGAGCCGAGGAGTCTTTCTTGAAATTCAAACATATGTGGAACAGAAGTGTGTCGTATATCTTCCATGGCATTGCCAACTTCCCTGGCAATTTAACCGGTAAAGACAGTAAACTGAAGCCGGATGAAGAGGCAACGAAGCCAAAGGAGTGCATCTCTTACAAGCAGCTCAGCGATGCGGAGCTAGAAAAGATCAAGTCCATTTACAAATAGAGCCGAACTGCGGCTGTTTCAATAAAGCTCTCAGCAGTTGTTAATGTTGTCTTCGACTCCTGTTTCAGAACATTGTCCAAACACAAGAATTTGTTGTCGCAACCCCAAGTAACTTTGCGCCGACATTCTCAAAGAACTTACTTAAGTCACGGGTTTTGCAAGGGTTTATCAGTGGGACGATTTAAAGCGTTAACAATTGTTGGTGAACACTGTAAGAGTGCCAATTAATTGAAAATTATGTTGCTTTGCTGGCAGCAAAATTGAAAACTCTCTGCGTTCCTATAAGGGACTGACGCAAATATATAATCAACTACGGCAGCCGTTCTTTTCATTCAAGCAAACGGGCAAAGTTAGCGAGAAAAGGAGAAGGAAACTTACCGATGCATCGAAATCGGCGCAGCTAAAATCCATTTCTAGCCATCATCTTTTCAATTTAGTCGAATTGAAAATCGCCAGCAAAACTACTGCTGCTTACAATTTTGCGCCTGAACGCCGATTCACTTTGTTCATGTCAGCAACAGCTTCTACATTGGAAATTTTCTCGCCCCCCCATGTGGGATTGTGAGGAAAGCTAGTCGGGATCGGCACAGATAAAGGACGGAAACGCGGACATTTTCGCGAAGGAAAACATCCTGAAAACGTATGGTTAAAAACCATGCAAATCTAAAACTTCTTGAATTCAAGCATTTTTTGAGAAAACTGCCAACATTTCCTTATCCATGGTTCACTTGCTAAATAGGCCATTTATTTCTCTCTAGAATGATGTACCAATGAGCGTTCTTGCTCATTTTGTCTCCGAGAAATGAGCAAAAATGGGACGGAAAACATGGAATTTTGGCATAATCTTGCACCTATGGGTCTGATATTCAAATTTTGCTTTCTGGGTCAAAACTACTCGAATTTCCTCACTCACGTTGTTACGGCTGAATCGACTTTTCAATTATCTATCCAACGATGCCAAAACGAATTTTGTAGCTCGAATGGTTCTTGAGAAACTTCGAAAAAAGCAGCGCCATGTTCAACTGGATTTTGCAGCGCAAAAAAAACCACGCCAATCTAAAACTTCTTGAATTCAAGCATTTTTTGAGAAAACTACCAACATTTGCTTATCGATGGTTCATTTTCTAAAAAGGCCATTTATTTCTCTCTAGAATGATGTACAAATGAGCGTTCTTGCTCATTTTGCCTCCGACATATGAGCAAAAAGGGGAAGGAAAACATGAAATTTTGGCATAATCTTGAACCTAAGAGTTTGATATTCATATTTTGCTTTCTGGGCCAAAACTACTCGAATTTTCTCACTCAAGTTGTTACGACTGAATCGTCTTTTCAATTCTCTTTCCAACTATGTCAAAACGAATTCTCTTGCTCGAATGGTTCTTGAGAAACTTCGAAAAACGCAGCGTTCAAGTGGATTTTGCAACTAAAAAAAAAACCACGCAAATCTGAAACTTCTTGAATTCAAGCATTTTTCTTATCGATGGTTCACTTTCTGAAAAGGCCATTTAGTTCTCTTTGGAATGATGTAAAAACGAGCGTTCTTGCTCATTTTGCTTCCGAGAAACATGCAAAACGGGACGTAAATTTGCCCCTTTTCACACATTGTTGAGTGGCGCCTTTTCAGACGAGTAATCAGTCATGATCCATCTGGCTTGACTTTTGCAAAAAACATTTTTGAAGAAACGCCCGCAAAATTATAAAAGGCGCTGATTCAAAAGGTGGCAATTTACAGATTTTTTKCAAACAACGAGAATTTKACTGTRTTTAAATGCTTTTCGAAGGAAAAGACGASGAACTGTGCATCTAGTCGCTGTTTTTCTTAAATTAGTTTCTTAAGCAAATAAGACCTAAGGAAAATCGCGACCGAAAAATGTCGTCTGACTCGACACCGAGTCAAAAAAACATATTTGAAATTGTCGTGAATCTTCAATCCAGATCCGTATAGTGAAAATTCCCAATTATTCGAACTCTCGTTCAGTCTCACTGTTTAGGCCCTGTCGAACCAGGGCTAATTTCTCAAGGAACATCTTTCGCGAGACGAGAAAGTTGGATTTAAAATTTATACGATTAATAAAGTGCCCCCGTTCTAATTGCCTGATTTAATTAAAACGTAGAAGGGGAGCACCTGCACCGACAACTTTTTGATTAACAAATGCGAATCTTTCGCAATTCGATTGTCTAATCCGAATAAATGACTTGTCCGGGGACTATCTTTTTGTTTTGCCCAAGCGACACTGTAATTAATTTAATTTTTAGACGCAGTCGACGTCTAATTAATTACGAATCATCATCGCACGCTTTTTCAAGCGGCTCTTAAGATGATTGCCTGTTTGGTAAATTAATGTAAAAACACTGCGCATATCAGTCATACAATCGCACAAAATTCACCGATGTAAATGAAAATGAACAATAAATTGTGAGGTTTTCATATTCAAGCTTTTTGTATTCTATAAAAATATACAGAAAATTGCGTCGAACTGATGCAGTTCGAGTTATGTAATTATGGAGTTTGATAAATCAGCAGCAGGCCAATTCGGAATAATTCACGAATATTTCCAAGAGCACAAATTCGCATTTGATTAATGGATTGCAGTTCTAAAGTATTAATCGAAATATGTTTTCTCGATGACTTTTGCCGGCTGAAACGCGCAAAATATGTTTGATATATGGCGTACCATCCTCATCGCTTTTGAATATTTCTTGCCAGCTTTGCAGCTTTTGAAGCGTTGACGCGCTAAGCGATCATTTTCCAAAGTTTATCGTCGGAAAAATGTGCCTTTCCCTACTTTATATCTCCTTTGCACAACCTTATTTTAGTCCTGTTTGAGAACAGCGTTTAATTATTTAACAATTTTTCAGTTTTAATGCTTCCAGGCGCAGATATTTAATGACCGAAAATCCCGGCTACACAAACTGTAAGCCAGTTGAAAAATCCTTGTGGACTTTGAAGAGGCTTGAAAAGTATCCCGCTTCACGGGAATTCTTTACGAAAGCTCCAAATAATTTAAAATCGCCCCCCAAAGGCCCCAGAATCATAAAGTGGGAGTTGTGGAATTTGCCGCACCGTCGACAAATTCCCAGATTACATTCCCGGTATTTCAAAGAACTTCATTCTAAGGGTTGCTCCCATTTGCCGAATCGGAATAATGAGTTTTGATATTGCTTATAAGTAACGCCTTGATTCCGAGTTTACTTGAAAAGTATGCCGGTGTTGTTTTGTGGAGCGTCGAGATCCTCACAAAGGCATTGTTCGGGAGTTTCGCTTTAATTAAGGATTTTGGGGAAAATTTCTAATTTAAATGGACATGTTTGTTCAAGTCTCTGCATCATGTTATTAAGGCGAATCAAGGGGGTTGCTGGATTGATCATGCCTGACTGGTTTGAGTCAGAAAACAACATTGCAAAATCGTCGTTAAACTCTAAAATGTAATGCCCATATTTGTGATTGCGATCATCGACTACACTTCTCTACAAAATCTTTCATTCTCATCACTTTCAAAAGTATTCTGCGAATTTTTCATTTCTCCACTTTTCCATCCAGATGCTCTTTCCTCAGAACCTCCTTCCTTCCTTTAAACAGAAGAATCCTGCTGGAGGTTTTTTCCAATCAAAATGCTTCAATGCTCGTGCTCTGCTTTAACACTCTGTTTAGATCAAACGTGACTACTTTTTGGCATCAGAATGCTGAAAGTAATAAACCGCAGGATTTTTAATATTGCTGCCTCCATCTTTCCATGGCACTCTAAACATAAAATTGGGTATTTGGGGCTCCATCTCCATTGAAAGCGGGGAATTTCACGCATTGGCCCTGCAATCGATCCGGTAAAATCTGCATAGATTTTCCCGTGCCTATTTTACAGACAATTGCACCAAACAAGTTTTTTTGCCTTCAATAAAACCGGTTGGTCAGGGTTTAGTTCAGATGGAGTTGGTTTAGGACGCAATAAAGTTTGCCTGATTTCCTGCAAAAATTAGGCTGGACGGCGAAAAGCGAAAAAAATGTACGTGCGGCAAATAAAAATGCGGTTGTTTTAGCAAAAAGCGAGCCCCAGCTAAGCTGAAAGGCAAACACAAATAATGGACACGGACGTGTTTCAATGGACATTGTTGTTTTTCAATAGTTTGCCGAATTCTGTTTAATATGCAAATTTGGGGCGCAATAAAAATTTGTTTGTGTCGGCGACCGCAGCGCATTTTGATTCTTCAATTTCCCTGGCAAGTTGCTTGAAACAGTTTGGATATTTTGTGAAGTTTTTTACGGTATGCTTTCATATTGTCTTTATTAAACCTGGGAATTTATCGAGTTTTAAAAAGCCACTGGATGTAAATTACAAGTGATAAAGGGAATATTTCTTTTCCCATTTTTAAGCGAAAAAGCCAAATAAATTCTCATATGAATGATAAACTGTGACAGTACTTTTTTTTATGCAAACACGGAAGAGTTCATATTTGACAAAAAATTATTTTTTTTTTTGCTAAACTCAAGCGAACCGGAAATTTTCTGGTAATTTTTTCAACAATAATTGTGCGTCTTGCACAAAATCGGTGAAATTTAGGCAAGCTTTTGAAGCAGCACCTTAAATGCGCTCAAGCAATTTTTCTAGCTTTGAAGGTGTCTTTCAAGATTTTTTCTGCTAAACTGAAGCATACCGGAATTTTTCCAGTAACTTTTTAAAAAAGACTCTACTTTTAGCTATGCGCTAGAAAACTTGCGCATCTGGCACAAAATCTGTGAAATTTTGGCAAGCTTTTGAAACAGCACCCAAAATGCGCTCGAGCAATTTTTCTAGTCTTGAAGATGTCTTTTCAACATTTTTGATTGCTAAACTCAAGCAAACCGGAACATTTCCAGTACCTTTTTTAGAAAGATTCTACTTTTATCTATGCGCTAGAAAACTTACGCATCTGGCACAAAATCTGTGAAATTTTGGGAAGCTTTTGAAGCAGCACCTAAAATGCGCTCGAGCAACTTTTCTAGTTTTGAAACTGTTTGGTCAAGATTTTTTTTTGCTCAACTCAACCAAACCGGAAATTTTCTAGTAACTTTTTTAAAAAGACTCTACTTTTAGCTATGAGTTAGAAAAATTGCACATTTCGCACACAATCTGTGAAATTTTGACAAGCTTTTGCAACAGCTTTTGACAATTTGACAAGCTTTTGTAGGAGTCTTTTCAAAAATTTTTCTTGCAAAATCCAAGCTACATGGAAATCTGACGGTCAATTCGTTGAAAAGGGTCTACTTCAGGATAGGTGTGACCAAAATTGTGTTTCTGGTAACAAATCTGCAAGACTTTGGCGAGCTTTAGAAACAACACTTGCCATGCGCTTCAAGGCTGCTATTAGTTCTTCTAGGGGTTTCTTCAAACATTTATTATGCAAAAGTCAAGCCAGACTGGAACTTCCTGCTTAGTTTTTTGAAAGGCCCAGCTTTTTTTCAAAAGGAAAAAGTCTTTGCTCAACAAAAAATCTGCAGGATTTTGCGGAGCTTTTGATCTGGTAACAACACTTGGCAGGCGCTTCAGGGCTTCTAATAGGTCTTCTAGGGGTCTTTTCAAACATTTATTGTGCGAAACGCAAGCCAGATGGAAATGCTCTGGTGGCTTCGTTGCAAAGATGCGTTTTTAGTTTAAGGGTGAGAAAAATTGCGTTTTTAGCAAAAAATCGGGTGAATTTTCGCGAGCTTTTGAAAGAACGCTTGGCGTGCGCTCCAATGTTTCTAATATTTGTGTCGGCGAACAAATGAAACCTTGTCACCAGGAAATAAATTGACCTAAAAAAGCCTCTCAACGCTGAATATACTTAAAACAGTATAAAATATAATTCATAATTTGAATAAAAACTAAATTTTCGAAGAAAATCAGGCTAAGACGCTTAAGCAATGTGGCAGATAAAAATAATGCAAACCCAATGCAACACAAATCAATTGAAAAATCTACACCTACATCAAATGTGGATTTATCTGACTAAAACCTGAGGAAAAAATAAACATTGAAAAAAAAACGGAAATAAAATCACTGTAAAACTGCAAATAAATATGATCTAAACCGAAACGAACATGTGAGGAAAAAATTATCCCCAGAAAAATAATTCATAAAACGTTCCAATATTTAATTGTTTTATTCGTTACTCAACTGAACACGCCCGAAGAATTTGAAATGAATTAATATTTAGCCAAAAGCTGAGTAAAACTGGCAGCCTGAAAACTTCCGGCTCAAACATTTTGCAGTTTCAAAAACTGCAATCTACTTTGTGTCACGCCACATTTCAACGCCTTTCAAAAGCAGCATCTTTTTAATAATATAAGTAGTAGAAGTTGGGAAAGAAATCCATACTTTTCCCCAATTGGCAAACTACGTACTTTTGCCCTTAATGCTGAGTCTAGACCAGAGCGATTTGAAGCGGAAATACGATGGATGATGCAGGATAAAATCAGCGGAAAATTGAAACACGTGTCGATTACACGGACGTTCTATAAGAAAGAAAATGCTGATCGAAAGAGTTTTCCGCATTGTTTCAATATTAATCGTTCGATCCGATCGAAAGCAACAGAAAGGGGGTCGAAAAAACATCATAATCGACACAAAGTTAACGTGTTTTTAGCCATCGGATTCCTGCAGAATTTTTGCTATATATTTTGCATGTACTGGACCGGTTGCCGCTTTGAGTAGAAGAAATGTGAGCTCGCAACTTCCATAATGCGATTTTTGCCGCAGCAAATTACTCCTGAGGCCACGTCGCACGTATAAAGCGCCTCAAAAGTTTAGATTTTAAATATTTACCACGTAACTATAAAACTTTTATTTCTTTTAAAAATTAATAATTAATTAGTACAAATTTTGAGTGCTGTCTCAAGGCCTGCTCATCACAATTTTCATTAACAGAGCTTCTGTTGATTACAATTAGTTGCGTCCCTGGGCCCAATTGAAAATATGCCTTTTAGATTAAAACTGAGGCGTAATTAATTAAGAAAAACTGTCGAAACATTTTAGCTCTGGTTAGGCTTAGACTTTAAAAACCCTTGATGATTTAGCTTTAGTTATTTTTTATTCGTTTGCATTTTTAGTGCTCTATTTTCCTATCAGTATAATAAGTGTTGTAAGCATTTGGCAAAAACACACATTTTAATTCTAGAAGACGCTTTGGTTCAAAATCTAAAGCAATATTGGCCTGTTGACGAAACACCCATACAAGAGTTAGAAGCATTAGAGCGTTTGTCTGGGTCTGGTTCAAGAGCAAAAATCTGCAATTTTTTTGCAACTTTCCGCATTGTTTTCAACTGAGTTATCGGCAACTATTGCATCAAAGTGTTTGAAAATAGTGTAAAAAGTCTTCGATTTTCAACAGGGCGATTCTTGATGTTTTCTATTTAACTCATTCAAATTTATTTTCCACTTTACATTGTGCATTTTTTTTGTTACACTGTTGGTCTCAACTGATCGGTCAGTATATGCGCCATCATTTTATCATTTATAAGAGATAGTAAAAAAATCTTACAGCGCAATATTTAGTAAAGACAAAGTGCCCAAAATTCGCTTAATTAAATCGCAGCCGTTCCGAAAAAAAGACGAATAACTGCTAATAAAGATGAAATATATCGTCTAACGCAAGTTGATTAAATGGCTCGCTAAGAATATCATGTTAGTGGATAGCAGGTAATTTATAATCAGCTTAACAAGCCCATAGTTTGGCCAGTTTGCATGCGGAAACATGGCCAAAGTTGGCGTTTTATTGTTTATTTTTACGGTTTGCAAACTGGCTAATTAGCGGCAATGATCAACATAATTTTTTCGCTTCAGGTAGAAATACGTAGTAAACATTATAGAGCGTTCGTATCATCGCTAGTTAACCAGTCGTATAATTTAATGAAGATGTCACAGTTCATGGCTATGAGCAAATCACCGCATAGAAGCGGAAAAGTCCAGATGAGTTTAAGCAAAATACGAACAACGTAAATTTAATATGCAATACATTTTCTTACAAAGTAAGCATTTGCATGTTTCTGATGGTTTTCATTCAATCAGGACTTTTGCCATTCTGTGGAAAAGTGCAGGAAAACTCCAGTTGCAAATCGAGTGGATCCCGTTTGTAGTAACTGTTCCAAATGTCGAGTTAGGGGCGCTTTAATGAGTTTTTAGCTCGCTCACATTACCTAAGGAATGTATGAGATGTATGTGCTTAAAAGCCTCAAACCGACTAAAAACTTTTCGCCACGATGAGAAAAATAAATCATTTAAGTTATTAAATTCTTATCCTTCCTGGGTCAAGTCAAA